GGAATTCGCCATCAATAATTCGGTGCATGCCTCAACATAGCACACACCGTTTTACGTGAATGGTTTACGCCATCCACGTGTGCCCGCACTACAAGAGTGTGACTCTTGGATAAGGGGGGGAGGGACTCGCTCGAGCAAAAACCGTTTTGGCTCTTGCTCATCACGTGTCGACGCTAACGTCGTCACGTATGATGCCGATGTCGATCAGGTCGACATCGATGAAGAAAATCACCTCAATAATAGCGGCGACGCTATTACTGACTCGGTTGATGATGACGATGCTGGTATATTCAGCATCGTCATCGATTATCCCAGCGAGGAAAACGACGACCTCGCTGAAGAAGAGAAGAAACTCTTAGCAGTGCGCACGAAGCGCACTGAAAAACACAACAACGAGTCAGCAGAGAACTTCCTGCTGACTCGAGAGGAGGTAGTCTGTTTTGTTCGGGACTACATCGCAAATGCGGTGAACCGCCAAAAAAGGGAACGCAGACAAGAATGGAAGAGAAAATTTTCTTTCATTTAAGGTTAACGACCTAGTGCTACTGTCTACGGTAAACTTACCTGTACATGCAGTCACTAATATCGGCAGTAGTAAACTACTGCCAAAATACATTGGTCCCTTTCGTGTGATGCACCGCAAGGGTAATGCATACACGATCGAATTGCCTCGTAGGATGCGCACGCATACTACGTTTTATGTTGGTCGTCTCCGCCCGTACCATCAGTACGAGGTCTCTTGCGAGAACAAAGATAACCGGCGCCCTCAAGAATCCCCAACAGACCCTTGTGATCACGGACCAAACACTGAAGTTGGTTCTTCGTCGAAAGGATTTGATCCTTCATCGACGCGGCCTCGCGACGAGCCGTCTCTAGCTCGTCGCGAAAACGACGCCTCTCGCGTTCACTCTTAAGCTGAGTGAACGCGAATCCCGATCGGTCCTTCTCCCTATCGGCACGAAGACGTCGCACGTCCGACTGCAAGGCGTGCCGACGATCGTATTCGTGATCGACGTCCTCCCTCAACTCGGTCAGGTAACGCTCGTGGTTACCCAAAGTCTCGTGCAGGCCCGGCAGCTGAGCCGGACCTTGTCTTTCCACCGCCACCGGAACCACTGGTGGATTCCCACGGTGGTCAACGCTTTCTTGTGGAGCGTATCTTGAACCACCGTGGCGATTCAAAATCAAGGACGAGTTACCTCGTTCGATGACGTGGGTACCTACCTTGCTTTGACAGCTGGGAACCTCGTTCCCAGCTGATGGCTGACGTTGAAGGTCTCGTCCACCAGTATGACGAGACTCATCCGATTGGTCCGAGGGCCTATAGGCAAATACGCGCTTTTGGCGCTTGTAGACGGATTGCAAGTTTGCGATCGCGTCCCGCATCTCAGCCGAGATGTGTGCCCTTCCCCAGGGCAAACTTAGAGAAAACACGTCCCTATGTGCACGTTGCGAGTTGTCGACACAGCTCGCACAAGGATCAACCCCAAGTAAGGCATGGAACGCCGGCCTCACTCGACAAACAATGCGGCCGGTACCTTGCACCGGTTGGCGTTCGCTTTTCGAACTTGAGGCGTATCGCCTTAGGCTTCTTAAGCCACCCTTCTCGTCCAAAATTCTTGACATTTTAGACGAAGGCGTTTCACGCTGCCAAAAGAGAGTTCTTGTCACGCTTTTAGTTGCCATTATACAATCGATTCCTAAGGAAGGCATCGAGATAGAAGTCTTCTTCAGCGCGAAAGTTTCTCGCGCTGGGACTTAAACCAAGAATCTCAGCTGCATCGAATAAAGGAATTCGATGGTGTTGGCTTGTCTCGTGAGACAAGCTATTGATGAGCTGCTCGGGCAAGCGCCACGGCTTGAGCTCACCACGCTTCAATGTGGTACCTGTTTCGGTACCACGGCTTACAAAATGACGATGGCTCTCGCCATCGTCATCACGCTCTTGCGGGGAAGCACGAGTTGATACTGGTGAGGCATAGTAGTCCTCACCATAGAGTTCATCATCACTGCCGAACAGACTGTGATGCATTTCACGAGTCCACTCATTCGACAGTGCTCTTGACGAACGCTGAGGCACCGCCGGTGATCGGGATGCCTCTGGAACGTTGCGCGAGTCAGGCACGTCTGACTCGCCATAATTGATGACATCATTGCCAAGGTCACCATGTGCACGTGGTGCGATACCGCGTACTTCTGCAGCACCTTCTGCTGCAGACGGAGAACAAGCAGCAGACGCCGAAGATTCTACCGCAGAGGCTGGCACAGCAGCAGGCTGTGTGGTCTTCGAAACCCCTCGTATATACATGTTAACTATGCGAGGCAAGGTCAGGAGTGAATGGGTCTGACCAAACAAGTGCTCCCTGTCCCACTGGTGTCTAACCGGTGGCCACCAAGTTTTCGATAGTCACACGGTGACTATCAGATAAGGGAGGGGTGATGTAACGGGGTTGCCCGTTACATGAGATTGTCATTAAAACAATTTGACAATAAAGAATATTACGTCGAACATTCTTTTAACAGTATCACAAGACATGGTGAGATTGTTGGGATGACCGAAGGGTCTACTCATTGGTTGATATCGTGATGATATCAACCCACCAATCGCTGCTAGACGCGCGCAATGGGTGGTGAGTAGACGCCATCATACATATAGTTACATCAGTATAATTAAGTCAGGAAAACAGAGATTCAAGGAGTTTTAGGACGTAATTATATTAATACAGTTTTACTTTTGCCAAAAAACTAGTAAGACTACTTCGTCTCCTTTCCTTCCTCTGTGTTTTCTTAAAACAACTAGCAGGGCACTGTCGACCACTGTCGTCAGTGGAAGTATACTCCGTACTGGTCAACCAGAACGTAGTCAACAGTGCCCTGCTACAAGGATGCAGTGCCAAAGTCCCCTTATGCTCCCCAGCTTGATACTCACCGATACTTTTGTGGAATTAAATTGGGCTTGAGAGCGTGTAGTCCAGTACCCCGGAAGCCCTCAATTACATTGCTGGAGTTATAAATGATGACGCTGCGGCATGCATAGCATGTAACGGGGCGAGCCCGTTACACAAAATTGATATCTTTGTATCAATTTTTGAACATTACCTATTTCGATAATTTTCAATCGACATTACTCGACAAGCGGTAATGATGACCGAAGATTACCCCCGAGGATACTATTGCTTTAATGGGTTGCTCCACCTGATGGTTGATGTTCACGGTACGTTAACCAGATTAACCATCAATCTCTGCTGGACGCGCGCAGTGGGTGGTGATCAAGAAACCCACATTGGAGCTTGTAGTTTAATATAGTTAGCTCAAGACAAAGATGGGTTATTAAGAAAGCATAGCTATCATAAATACAGTTCTACTTTTCCATTAGACAGAGCTTTCGAGTTCTGCCTCCTTCGCTGCGCTTCCTCACGCCACGTGTACGTGACGTCGGGTGCACACAACCTTGTGTTGAATAGACACAAGGCGTGCCCCGTTACATAGCACGCAATCTCGATGGCTGGTTGTTTGGACAGCTCTGGGTCCGCCGTATCATACATTTGAAGCTGTAGACGCTCGCGAACGATTGAATTGAAAGGCTTGAACACGGCCACGTCAGGCGGCTAGAAGATGTGCGTCGCGTATGCTGGCAAGGCGATCATCAGGATGCCCTGTTCGCAGCAGAAGTTTACCGACTTTAAAAAACAAAAACCCGGTTCAAGTGATTATGAGAAAGAATATAATGATAAAAACAGTTTTGCAAAACTTACCAATATTCACATGCGTACGCAGCCCTTCAATCAGGATCCCGATTTGCTGGTCCTGCGCCATCTTCAACAACGTACGTAACGGAACAGACGACGTCCGCGCGACTTCGGTGTACGATTCACCGTTGTGTACTTTTATAAGAGCACTCGACGACGTCTTGCTTTTCGTAGTACCCGTGGCGTATCACCAACTGCTTTATTCTTCTTCATTCGTTTTTGAGGGCAGAAGATGCCCCCCTTGCTTACAATTCCTTTACAAAACGATAAAAATACTTCGCACACAGCGAATCGTGCATTAAATCGGTTCAAAACTCATCTGCCAATTAAATTGCTCAGATTCGACATATTCCGAGTTCTTTGGATTGTAATCAGCATCGTGCACTGAAGTGATATCGTGCACAAAACTGGTCGTCTACCCGTATCGTATATTACCTTTTCGAAAAACATTCCCTCGATATTGCCCGCTAACGACGATATCAGCGAATCGTTACAGTTACAATACCACTACATTTTTTACATTCACATCACCGTCAATGTCATGCAACTGTGTCATCCACAAAACAGATTGCACATCAAAGCGATTTACCGGTCCGCTGACACATGACAGATAACGTTCCGAGTCCAAACACACAAAACTCATTGTGTTACTGAGATATCCAATTGTGCCCACCGTTGCGATAGAGTATGTATCGTGCATCCCACACATGCTCGAAACTATCGACGGACAGTCACGACCATTGGGCATTAGACAGGCAATAAGCTTATCATCTCACTTCGAAAGAGCTCGTTGTGACGACAGTGGCAGGTCATCCTACGAGACGACTTGCTCCGACCTTACTGAGCTGCCACGGCAAGCAGTCACGCAGCCAGCCGAGTCGAAATGACGCCCCGTTTAGATCGGAACTTACCTCAGCTCTACGAGAAAAACACACTCGGGCTCGGCGTGTTCTCGTCGCACGCTCGACAATAATTGCTTTATCATGGAAAATTAAACGAGTCGACTCGTTTTTGTACCCACTCGTCGAAGTCAAAATGTGCACAAAACAGGTGCAAAAACACGTGTTTTGTCGGTAAAGCCGATCGTCTCGTCGAAGTCGGTGCGAATGCCACGTGGGTACGACACGCCATCCATTCGACCAATTAACATATTGCGTGTGGGTGTGGGTGTGGGTGTGTAGGCTCTGGACCGGTACATTGCATTGCTAACTAGACGGCTCGTTATTGCAGGCACAGGTCAACAACTCCATCATGAGATGTTCAGCGAACGTTGGGACGAACGGAAGTCGCGTTTTCCAGGAAATCACAAACGCACTGACAAACTCTGTGGATGCGGTCGAGGGCCCCACTACCACAGCATCAGCCGTCGAGTTTGGGAACGAATGCCACATGTTGACGGAAAACGAGTGGCAGCGACTGCTTCGAGCGGGACTTCGACTGACTTCGACTGGCGATAAGAAGGAGCGGTACTGCTTTCAGGACGTTCCGGTGGGGAACGACGCGACTGTGCGTGTGCTGCGACAAGTACACGAGCACCAGTACGTACTTCAGGTGCAGAAGACATTGAAGAAGAGTTGGGCGAGCACCAAAGGGGAACGAGGTGCAACGTCGTTGCGAGCGAAGCGGGAGCGCTCGAGCTGCCAGTCGACTGCAGGGGGAACACCTCCACGATCAAAGAGTGCTGTCACTGTCCAGACGATATCTCCGGACGAGAAGAAGAACAAAAGGGGTCGAAACGGCGATGATGCAAAGTGTAGTGCTGACGAGATGGCTCCACCGACCAAGACACGCAGGATGAGCGGCACGAGGAGCAAGAAGTCGGCTCTTGATACGCAAAGAGAGTTGCAGGTCGAGACCGCCTGCTTGATCGTCCCGGGCAGCAGGAAATCTCAGCATCCGGAACGAGTTGGGATCGTCAGCAGTTTCTACGGCAGTAAAGCTCTAGCTCTATGCCCTCGATTCCTTGCTGTTGACGGGGACACGAATACTTTGCCTTTGATGTCAGGTGAATCGGGTGATGAAGACGTTGCCACGTCAAGAGCTTGGAATGGAGTCCGCAGCGATCAAGACGCTAGCGCAAAGGATTCGACACAGTCGTCTATTCGACAGATGCACGATCGAAGTGGGCCGAGCACGCTTGCTATTCCGTTGCAGGACTTTCCACTTGCATCAGGCAATGATGCCAATGCGGATGACAGTGACGACTATGATCAGACCACGTGTGATGCTGGAAACCAAGCTCGTAACAATGCCGTGCAATTGACCAGGACAACGGATTCGTCCCATTTATTGTGGTCGGTCTGCAAGAATACGACGATGCAGGTCTGCAAGGCACTAAACAAGATGTGCAACTTGGCCTCTTCGGATAAGGCTCAAGACTCATCAGGTGTTGACTACGACTTGCTGTGGATCGAGGAAGACGGCCGACACCACTGGACAATGTTTGGCGAGCCGAGTAGGTGAACACAAGTGTGAGGCGCCGACGATACACATACTGATCGACTGTCGCACCCGGCGCCCACGCTGTCAAGCGAACTGAACCCGACATCACGGCCACTAAGCCATAAACGTTGTTGATTACTACTGTCTAGATTTCCGCTGACATTGATGACCGAGACCAGGCTGTGGCAGAACATGTTCGGACGATGAAGCTTGCTGTGCCCGAGACCTGACGAAGCGTGCATGTCATCCTGACAACTCGTACGACGCTGATCGATTTTTTGCCTTGCTGCCGCGAGGACAGGTCGCTACAATGATGGTGTTTGCAGCGTTCACTTCCTACCAGCATTTTTGCCTCGGTAGTAGCATACACGCTGCAATTGAGTTGCCATCAATCTTTGTCAACAAGTGGATGCTTTCTAGGCACTTCTGCTGTATACTGAGTAATATTTTGCCGATGTTATTCGATTGACGATCGTGTTCAGGTGGGGTCCTGACATTATCTACGGCTCCAATGTCAACTAATGGTGCGTTAGTAAACACGCGCCCGGAGCTACAATGACACTATGACTATCATGAGAGCCGCTTGGAGAAAGTGTCTCTGTTTGACAGGTCATTGCATTCCACACAAACCATTGATTCTTGCACTACGAACTTCAATCGACTTGTTGTCAGCACACTTACTGTATCGTACGTGTCCAACGCACATGACAACTTGTAATCTTTGCATGTCCAAAGTATTCTCCTTTTCTTCCTCTTGCTTTGTGGTCATGCTGTTGCCACTACTGATTCCGTGACCCATCGACAGCGATCAAGTCCAAACTAGGCAGGAAGTATTGCACTCGCGTATTGCCAGACACTTCCTAGTGATGATCGTATTTGTGCGTCACCTGTATACGCCTCCAACGGAACGGGGCCCTGCATGTCGGCAAAGAATGCTTCATTAACAATGTGTGCGTACACGCAGCCGGCATACGCTCGATGCGTTTCTCCCTCCTGATCACAAACCGAGTCAGTCGCTTGCATCATTTCTGTCGATATTGACTCTGGCCATTTCCGTGCGAACTTAGGCATCGATTTCCAACAGCGTTTTCGTCCTGCATCCTGCGAAAAGTGTTGTGCATCGGTAAATAGACAGAAGTATCGACACAGCAGTCACTCTCCCCCAACAACGTCACTCATAGCCATGTTCTTCAGTTCTATGGACCAAGAACAGACGCGTACAAAACAACGCTCAAGCTCGTTGCGCATGGCAGTCTATTGACCGAGTGTCCGCTCAACGCAAATGAAGTCGCGTGACCAGTTTTGCTTGGACACACTATCTAAATCTCTTCCACTCGGCCTGAATACCCAGCAAACATATCGCCCCTCGCTTGTGCTCGCGCTTTGGCATCCGAGTCTGCGCACGACAAAACGAGCCTTCGTGTGAGTCCCACAACATCTGACACACCTCGTCAGGAATGACACGCGACCTACCGCTAGAGCTGTTGCCCTGGCCAGGGTGGAACGAGTAGTGTGGAGGGTTCGAGGGCGTCTGACGGGACGGTCGGCGCGGCGCAGGCGACGGCGGACGCACTGGCATCCGCTCAAACTCTCGGTCCAGCCCTTCAAACGGATGCGTAAAGTCACCACGGCCAAACAAACCGCCACCGAAAAAGTCTGCAGCAGTATAAAAACAAACAGCACGTTACAAAGTGCTGTATGCAGCCAGACGACCCCCCCCACCTCGCCGTTCAATAGCAAGTACCTTCGAACGGACGCAGCATCTCCTGTCGAAGAAAGTCGAATGGACTCATCTGGGCCTCGAAGTCGTCGTCTCTGTATCCACCACAGCTCAACGTCAAATTCAATCTCCGATGACTCAACAGCCGCTACCACATCACCAAAAGTCCGTACCCCTGCTGAAACATTGTACCAAAGTCCTGCTCACGTCTGCCAACACGCCACCACCATCACAACCACTTGACCATTAGTACGAAACATTATCCGCCAATGAGACCCCACCCAACTGCCTCGACGCACCCGTCGCGCGTGTCCATCCGTTCTCGATTGAAAAAGTCCCCAGCAATCGCTGCGTCGCCATGTTCGTCTTCGGCGATCTCTTTCCGGTTCGAGATCAGTTCTTTGCGCGCGTTTGGACACTGACGGAAGATCTTCTTCACGATTTCGCACTTGCTGTCGCCGTTCGTGGACCTGCAGGACTGGGACAGCGCAGTCGAGTAGAAACAGTTGGGGTTGGCCTCGCGGTCCTTCTGGATCAACTCGTGCTCCTCGTCGCTAAGTGTTGGCATGTTGAGCTCCGACTGCTGCTGCTGCTGCTCTCTCTCTCTCTCTCTCTCTCTCTCTCTTTATCTCTATCTCTCGCGCTCAGTTCCGATTTCCAGACGCCCACTCTTCACAAATGGGTACACGTAGGACAAGTGGTGCACACCACTGACGCGTCTCTTTTTGTTCTGAGCAGACGAGACGTGCTGAATGTGGGTTCGCACACAGTCTGTCTGCTGTGGCACTGTCCCGTCTGAGGAATAGTGGACGCAGAATATTCTTCTGCGACATGCGCAAGAGGTAGTACATAACGGTACACGAGACTGAACGACGCCGAACAGACGGTCTAAATACGGCATAAATGTGTAGCTGAGCAGCAAAATGGATCTGCGCTTTTGACCAAAACAGTTGCCACGCGATCATCGACGCAGCAAAGCGCCGGCAGTAGATGGACGAGAAGACCTCTCGATGTCGTGCAAGAGCAGAGCATCGAATGGAACGTGATGAATATCCACAATGTTAGTATGTACTACCGGATAGAAGGAGTCACGCCGGTCGCTTCGACTGTTCCATGATGGTCTTCGTCAGCCTCGATGCAAATTCCTTGTGTAGATATATCGACTTCCGCATTTGCATTCACACCCGGCGCCTCACAAGTGTTCGCGCGATAAGGCGCGTACGTTGTTGACCAAAAGCTGTTCGATAGCTTGTCGGGATTGTGCGTCATCGCTCGTCCCATTGTTGCCTGCTATGCTAATTGTGTGAGTCCCACTCAATCGCAAGGTTGACTGCACCAGCCACTTGCTGCAACAGGGCTGGCAACTTCTTGCTCGATGAACTGCACAAGTCAAAAGCGCCATATTGCGTAGCCTTGCAAGGTACACGACCTATGGACATCGTCTATGTGGTAGCGCTTGACTGTACGAGTCTGGAATGCCGACGTGAGTGCAATAACGACAAGAACGATGGGCCACCGAAAGCCGTTACGTAAGAAAGTCAGGCGGGTCAGCCTTTCTAATCTTGCGACACTTGCGATGCTGCAATCCGACTCTGTCTTCCTCAGTGCATTCGACGGCACAACGACATCAGAACGAACGTCACTTACGTAGTTATCAGAGAGCACAAACGAGCAAAAAGGATACCGAAAGATCGATGTCGCTTGGCTTTATCTCGCGGCAGTCTGTCATTTCGACCGCATGATTGCCATGCGTTCTTCTGCTGATCGTGTGACGGCTTCATGCCTGCAATATGTCATTGTTGCACCATTGTTGTAGCAGAAAGGGGCAGGCTTACGCAGACAGGGTCACTTAACGTTTCGACGCGTTAATGCTTCCTCGCATACCGGCAATGCAGAAGAGTGTCGAATTGATAGAAGAACGTGATCAGCGTCTAGTATCGCGCATTCCCACTGCAAGATATTTGGATTACACAACACGGAGAATCGGGTTCGAGATAGCTGTGCATCAGTCAGTCAGCGAAATCTGATCGTCGTGGGTGGCGACGATGACATTGGGAAGAACCTCTCGTAAAATGCAGTAAGACGTACCATCAATCAATCGGGTGGTCCGAAAAAGGAACAGCATTTCCGTTTGTAATTTGTAAGCAGGACATTGCTCACCGCCAGGTATATTCAGCGAGAAACTGCTGGTCCTGTCAGCACTACGTGACGGTCACCACGTCTCTACCGATGACCAAATTACCTCACCATGCCGCGACGCTCTAAGCTGTCAAGCAGCTGCTGCAAACAGAATCAATCTGCTCACTTGAGCTCCGAGTCGCCGGTGAGGCATTTCATGTAAATATACGTTTCCACGCCGTGCCCTTCCATGGGCATGATCGCCAGCTCGCCACCAAAGTACTTGGCGTACAGCTGAGCAATGCGCAGACCAAATGAGTCCGAAAAGTCCAGCCCCATCGCACGCCCTTCGAGCGCCTCTGCTACCGGGTCGTATCCGTTCGGAGACGGAGACGTCGCTGCTTGGTAGTAGCTCGACAGCGCATTGGCTTCCTTCCGGGTCATACCTCCACCCAAATCGGACACTTTGATGCACATGCCGTGGGGTCCGCCCGAGATGAGCACGTTGACCGGCGGCGGCGAGTCGGCCCCTGTCCGTTTAGCCGCCGCGACACTATTCAGCACTGCGTTCTTCAGCACTTCGGTCAAAATGATCGCAACGTGCTCCGAAATGTAGCGATACGTGGCCTGCTCGTCGCCACTTACAACAATTGCAGGCATCTGCTCGCCATCGAGGCTCTCCTGCCACAACGAGCGCACCTTGTGTGCAATCTCCCGAGCAATCTGCACGGGCGAGCACTCATTATGGACAATGCCCGTGAATCCCGGCCTCGGCGTCTGTGCTGCAACATGCTGGTCGACGAGCATGCGGATGCCAATGCGCGAGTTGTAGAAATTGTCCAGCGACTCGCGCAGCCCTTGGGGCTCGTACTCGAGCGCCCGCACGGCTTCAGCAATGTTGCCATGCATCGTGGCGTGCTTCTTCCTGATCTTGACGTGGAGCGCCATAAAGTCTCTCTCGCCCGAGAGGTTGGCCGGGAACGGGCAGCTCAGTAGCTGGTCAAAGCTGCTCAGGAGCTGTTCGCGCAGAGACACAATGGGCGTTGCCTGTGGCAGCTCGTCCGGCAGGTTCTCCAGGTCGACAATGCGGCGTGAAAGACGGATTGGCACTTCGCGGTGCAGCAGCTGCGCCGACGTGACAATCGCTGGCGCATTCGCCTCGCGCCACTTGTCCAGCGCGCGTGTGTCGTTCTGGAGGGTGGCGACGACGGCGGGACTGGCTGCAGGGCCGCGCTTGAGCAGCTCCTGGAGGGTGATGGCGGGCAGCGGGACGTGGTGCAGGCGGTACACTTCGGCCAGCACTTTTGCGCCCAACGACGTCGTCATACTTGAGATGTGGGGGGGCAGCAGCAGCAGTAGACACGACGGAGGATGGAGGAGAGAGTCCTGGACGAATGAGTGGTGTAGCCACTTGCTGGGCTCGGGCCGACTGCGGGTTGCGTGTCACTTGGGTACACAATTATTTGGGGGGTGGAGAGTGACGCGCACGTGGTGCAGCCAATCAGAGAGCTCCATCGACGAGGCAGATGGATGGACGGGATGGATGGATGGATGGGATGGACCGACTGTACTCGACCGTTGGCCGGTTTTCGCACCATACTCAGCGCGAATGAAGTGCACGACGCGACACAAAAGTGCGCCAATTCCACACACGCTCTGTTCGAGCCATCAGCTGCTACAGTTCCCACTGGTCGACAATATGGGAAAATATACGCACAGTACTTCTCGTAACGACATTTTCTCAAAGCTCTGACGACAGCGCTGTGGTGCAAAGCGATCGCTCTCCTCTCATGTGCCGACACCTGACAGACACTTCCAACACGAACGGGTCATCAACGCCGTTGATGTCGTCTTCATACGTCGCTCACAGCGTCAGAAATCGACTGTCCACGTCGACCGCTCTCCCGTCCTCTGTCTCTACCGCCCCAACGTCGTCACCGGGTGCTCGTTGAGAGCCAGTGCTCGAGACGCGACATGTAGAATCGAAGCTGTTGTGGACGGGCCTTTGGTCCGCACCTCCAGCGCGTGAGCCCAATCTGCTGCCGCCGGTCTGTAGACGGACACGCAGCAGCGCAATCATATTCAGTCCTTCTTCCTTCCCGTGTCGAGCGCACTGAGCTCAAAATCCAGCGGTCCATTGTAGCCATGGAAGCTGCTGCGGCTGCTGCTGATCGTGTGTGAGGGCGCTGCAAGCGTTTGGACATGCGCCCTGTTCTTACACATATGCTGCTTGTGCTTGCGCGTGCATGGACGAATTGCCCCGTTACGTCACGTCGTCAGGGCAAAGGCGCACGGGTTCTCCGCCACTTCAACGAGAAAAAAAATCCAGTCGCCTAAGGGCCGAGTGCCGTCGAAACGGACGTAGAAGAGAGACGACCGCTCGATCGCAGCGCAGTGCGAAAGGCGTTTCTTTCTGCTCTTTCAACCACTTTTAATCGACTGACCTGCCCGGACGACGCGCGGTGGAGTGAATGGCTACACTCTCGTTGCGCGATTGAAGGGCAGCAGCGTGTAGTAAGGACGGCGCGCGTTGCGACGACCGACAGCGAATACCGTATGGAAAAGGGGAAAAGGGGAGGGGAGGGCGTAATCCCTGTGGCATCCGATAGGAGCAGCTGATGGGTTTTGGAAGGATACGGTAAACCACAGGTCGATATGGACCCAGTGCGTATGCGCATCGAAACAGTCGAATCAAGACGGTTGACGAAGGGTATCAGATCTGAGAAGCACCGCAGCGACTGTCGTCTGTCAAACGCCATCAACAACAGCGATCGTACCCCTAGTCAGCGCGACTCACAATCAAACAGCAGACGGACCGCTCACGACGAGAGAGAGAAGACGGCGAGCGCTCGTTCACTCGACAACAAGAGCGACTGCACGCGAGTCTCCGAGGAGGTACGTCGCTAAGTACCGCACGTCAGCGGTGCCAAGTGGTGGTTTGCTGGCCGCGGACACTCACTCGTTGTTGTTTGTATGCGCTTTGTCGACATGCAGCTCTCACTGACTGATCCCAGCAGCGTCTTCTTTGCGCTTGCTACGCGGCTACCCACGCAACGAGCTGCTTCAAGAGCCTCTTCGCTCGCTCGCTTGCTCTTCTCTCTCTTTTTCTGTCTCTCTCTTAGGTGACAATGGGTCGGCAGTGGCAGCTCCGGAACAAGGAGAGCTTCATCAACTATGTCAAGATTGAGCTGCAGCTGCTGAAGCAGGAGTGGAAGATCCTCCTGCCGTGCACCATCATGCAGTACCTCCACGCCATCTTCCACAACCTGGCCTATTACATCCAGGGCAACGAGCTGGCCATCGAGCAGCGCTTCACGCTCTACGATCTCGGCTTTGAGCTCTTGCCGGAAATCCACGGCTTTGCAGCGTCGCTCTCGGACATTCTCGTGTTCGCCGTGATCTTTGCCCCCGCCATTTTCCTCGTGCTGACGATCCCCTTTGCCAAGCAAGAGCCCGGTCGCCCGCGCTACCTCGTGATCGTGCTCAAGCGCTGTCTCATGCAGCTCAGCATCTGTCTGGTTCTTCGCATTCTGTCGTTCCTCGCGACGGCTCTCCCATCTCCTGCGGACCACTGCGAGCTCAAGTTTAACGACGCGTGCATGCAGGCGAACCCGGACAACCCGATCCCGTGTGTCGTGCCGAACCCGAACTTCAAACCGCCCGGCACGGACCAGTTGCTGACCCGCATCGACTCGCTCAACGGGTGCGGCGACCTGATGTTCAGCTCGCACACGATCTACACCGTGTCGCTCATTTTGACCATGTGGAAGTACTGGCTCAACAAGTACGGGCTCGCCCTCATGGTCTCGATACAGATTGTGATTGCGTTCTTGATCGTGGCCTCACGGAAGCACTACACGCTGGACGTGTACTCTGCGCTGTACATTGTGCCTCTGATCTGGTTTACGCTCGAGGCGTACTATAAGGACATTAACCACAAGGACTCGGAGGTCACGGTCAAGACCATCTACGACTTTTACGGAGTGGACGTGTCGAGCGACGCGGACGACGGCGCAGTGCCGCTGTACCCGACCGAAGGCACTCCGAACTCGACGGCGCCGCTGAACCCGTCGGTCCACGTGACGATGACAGAGGACGAGAGCACGAACGGCGAGCGATCTGACCCGGACCACACGACCACGAGCTTCCAGCGCAAGAATTCGCTGTAGGGGGGGGTCGATGGACGACTCGCTGTTTTCTGCCCACGTACGTCGTGCCTGTGGCCACTTCGTGGCGCTTGTGTGGCCCGAGTGCACATATTGCCGCAGCTTATATTCGGGTAAGCTCACGACGGCCACTGTTCGCTCTTGTCGTGACTAATAGATTAACGCTTTAAGACCTTTGTATGACCGCTGCACTGGTGTTCCCGCCTGCACTGTTGTTCCCATGAAAGTCTCGACCCGTCACTGAGGGGCCGCTACCAACGACACGTCGTACGGTACGCTGTTAGCCGTAGAACGCGCTGAGTTGCGACAGCGTATCCACATCCGACAGGTCGTCGGTGCAGATACTGGAAAAGTCGCTCTGCTGGGACCACCACAGTGGCGAGTCCATGTCGTGGTCGCTCGCGTGGCCCGCGTCGTCGCCCGCGTCACCCCACGACGCGCCGCCGCTTGCTCTGCTGCTGTCACACAGAAAGTCGGCCACACTCTCGTGACGGCCATGCGCCCACGCGTCTGCAGCGTCAACGGTCGAGCAGAGCAGCACAGTGGGCGGTGCGATCGTGACGCGCCACGACGGAGACGTCGTCGCGTGTGTGCTCGAGAGACGCAGACGCACTTCGAGCGGCCGAAGGGCTGCGCTGTACGTGACACGGGGCATAGTCACGTCTTTCTCTGTGTGTGGACGTCGGACGAAGGACAGGTCGGGAGCGACAAGTGGTGATACAATGTGGTCGATCTGCTGGGGATCGCCGCGGACAAAGCAGCTGTGGTGATACACTGTGTAGCAGTCCCGCGCGCGCTCTTCGTCGTGGCAGTCAAAGCTCCAGGCCGCGAGCACCTGCTGCAGCGAGCACACGCGCAGCCCAAGCGCCGCTGCCACGCGGTCCTCTCGTGTCTGCGCCACGTAAAAGTGCGTGCCGTTGTCGAGCCACGCGAGCGCGTCTGGCGCTGTGTCGCTGTCGAGGCACAAGTGGAGGCGCTCGAGCACTGCGCGCCAACTCCAACTGCCCGCGGCGTCTGTCTCATTGCCTGTTCGTGTTTGTACACGACGTCACGTTATCTGTGTGAACCGGTTGTTGCTTTTCGCTCACTGTTTCGACTGGCGCGATGCGAAAGCGAGTGGCCCACGCACGCACCTTCGTGACCGCCTCGCCGGAGCTTCCTGCAGCGTCCATCGACGACGACGTCGTCACCTACGAGAGAGTCGCTGTGAGTCGCGTGGATGCCGTCGGGAAGCGTCGGCTACGTACCGCGTTCTTCGCGTCCGCGTCGCCCCATGTTCGTCTGCAGAATGCGCACTTCAACTTCAACTCGCGGATCAACAAGAAGGCAACAACGGGTCAACCGCGCTGGGATCGGCAACGTGCAACTTTAACCCACCGTTTGGGCCGAGTGCCAAGACCGCACGAGGTGTGATGCCGATTGGACAGGGTACGTGCTTGGCGAAGAAACCGCGTTGACTCAAGACGAGTGCTGTGTTGTAGTTCGTGAATGATGGAAGCGCGGGTTGGTTGCAATGCGCAGACAGAGTGCAGGAATTTGTGTGTGCAGAAGTGCGCTAATGCGACGCCTATGTAGTGCATGTGCCTGGCAATGCGGACTTGCAGCTTTTGTCTTTCGTGGGAGGGAACATCATATGTCAAAATATTATACGGTCCGTTCGAGTAGAAAACACGCACGACCAGGGGGGCTGCTGCCACCTGTGAGTCGGATGCAGAAGTTGCGCACGCAGCCCAATATTCTTCGCTGACGTGTGAGTGAAGCCGACATGAAGTCTGCGTTCACGGTATATAGTACAGCGGCAGCAGTCTGCCCGCGACATGTCCATCCCGCAATCATTATGTTTACGCAATATGTCCCGTCGCTTCCTATCTGCGGTCGACTTTCATGCCACTTGCAGTCGATAAGCCGAACGGTAGCTATACAGTGTTTGATAAACTTCAGCCTGGAATCGCCGTCGTGTGTTTGCGCAGAGCAAGCAGCTTTGACATACACTCTTTGCGCGAAGCATCGCTCACGTACGAAGCGAACGTCGTAAGTACGAGCAAACCCTACAAAGTGTTTGCACGCATTTGTCCGCCCACGGGATTAGTCCGTCTCGAGTGGTCACGAGTTCAGGTCATTTTCATTACTGTAAGAAGTTGCGCTTGCAGACATCATCGTCATCATCATCATCATGTTACAGGTGTGGCAGACATTGCGCCAACCTGATAGATCAGTAGCGACGTACGAACACACTTCGGAGCCCAATTTCGATCACCAAGAATTTCCAAAGCGCGAGCACAAACGTCTGCACGCACAACACGCTATCAGCACAACACGAGCCGTCCAATAGTGCCACGCACTCCGCTCTTACCGTCACATTTCTGCCCAAGAACTCGTAGAAGAAATATCTTGGCCTGCGAACCTAGGAGCTGTGATCAAAACGGAGCTTGATTCTCAAGCACGAGTCGTGTTAGACTCCAGAAACTTATAGCGCAACAAAGCACATTTTGCAGCAAAACTTGCTTTGTCGCATATCCCTACACCTTGGCTCGTAAACTTCATTTCTTACTGCCAAACGAACGTTTCATTGGTGCACGTCAACGTTTGTAATCAACAGAAACGCTGTAGAAACGCGGACAACTAAATACCGAGACCGTCCAGTGAGTGAACCGCTCCGCTCCCACTTTGAGTGGAGGAGAAGCCCCGTACCCGATCGGCGCACACCTTTTGACTCCATCGGGTGCACTTAGGTATACGAAAGAGTAGGGGCACAGCAGCATGTGCGGCCACTGCATGTATAATGATATGTTGCATCATTCGATACCGCGTTGTGGAACTTCTTGAGTGCACACATGCAGTGTTCTTCTTTGTTCGGAGCGCTGAGAAGTGTTCCATTGCAATGAGGAGCTAAGGCATGTCGTGTCGATTCCATCTGCGCTATAGAAACTTCGTGACCCTATGTGTGTAGAGGACGACGGTTCTTCCATGTGTCAAACTCCTCAAGAACTGGGTCGTACATTCGATGAGATTCAACAAGCAAACTTTTGTAGCCACATACAGCTACAAGATGGTGTCATGAGGCGAAGACGCTTCGCCGAAGTGGTTGTTGTAGTTGTTGTAATTGTGGCTAAGCACACCGTCAATGCGAATTACTGTCGCTGATAGACAGAGTCGTTTGCATACTGAATTCCTCGTAAATCGCTGCAGTAGAACAGGTACCGAAATAGGTACGAGGAACGGATGACGAAAGATGCAGAGAGTAACATGTACTCGGCAACGACGGGAGTCAAAACTTGCACCCGTCCACTGTCTCGGCAAATTTGTCCCGACGACGATGGAAGCGTAGGAAAAGAACTGCAATCGGGTTTGCACTCTCGATGCGAACGACCGATACAAAGCGCCGCAATATGGAGCACGAGCATGTAGCGAGACAATGGTCGAGTGACATTGTATGGAATCAGTGCTGGCATAGGTGCGTTTACAGCAAAGACGGTCTTCTCATCGATGACATCGATCAACGCGTGCACTTCTGTCGCTATAAGCGAATGCAGTTCCAGATCGGCTATGAAGATAAAGCAAGTTGGTAGCACGTTGCGACAAATATGTCTTCGATCAAGGCCCTTCACGTGAGTACCGAGTCTTGTTACTGGGTGGTTCAGTAGTCTTCCGACCACATACCGATCATCGGAAATGAAGCTGTGTGCGTTCCCATTGCTCGACGCTCCTTTACCTGAGGCCCGACCTTGTGTTTCACTGACGCCACAAACCAGCTTCTGCGTTCATCGCGTCACTTGCGTTGCCTATTGGCATCTCATCTTCCCTTCGGCATGGTCTCTGCACCATGCGCGCTTCGAGCATCACCAGTCCGATCCAGCTCTCACGAGCTTCGAATACTGAGGCGGGTCTACTCATCGAGAAGAGTCGATCGGCACCACTAGTTGCGAGACTCTTGCACGTCACAGCTTGGGCTCTTCCGACCACTTAGCGTCTGCATAAGTTCTTTCCAATGGCTCGACAGCGTCATCATCGCGTCCAGAACGCTTGTGTCTTTTGTCTCCATGCTCGCCAGAACACTCGACTGTTTCAGCACGCCGCTTGCTTGACGCTACGCCACAACTGGCTGCTGATGGCACGGACGGGTCGGTCAGTGTCTTACCGTCCGTCGCATTGGTACTCGAGCGAGAGCCAACAGCTTGAGCCTTTCCACAGCCTTTCAGAATGTTGTCAAGCTTTGCTTTCGCCTGGATCGCTTGCACTACAGCAAGATGTGTCAGATACGTGCTATGCATACAATAGCGTTCACGACGCATACCATACACAAGTGCAGAAACACCACCATCGACACTATGTCACTCTTACCTAACGCAACGTTTCGTAAAATCGGCCGCGTCCACGTCGTCTCATTCGACTTTCGGTTCCAATAGTACACGTCACCGCTTGTTGCATCCGGCACTTCTTCCCACCCACTACATCCAGTCAGTCATCAACTTATCCGGCATCGCTGTATAACCTTTCTGAGCTCAAGAGATACAACAGGAAAGATGCAACACGTACTCGGGTAATTGCCCCTCCCTCGTCGTCGATCCAGCACCAGCTTCCGTCTCCTGTGCCTACACAAGTCACCCACTTATTTCAGCGTACTAGCAATTTCCAATCTCTTGTCCGCGTGTTCCAAGTGCACCTGTACTTGTATCGATGAACGTTCAGGTCGCTCCCACACCGTCTCATTCGTCGTCTACAGGTCACAGGCATTCCACAAACCTCAACTTCGTCACTCTATCGGCATCGCTCGTCGCTCTATTTTCCACCCTAACCGCCACCCCAAACCTCACTTTGTTCACACACGCACCTTATTCCAAAAATACGACTCGCCCGACGACCGGTCTACGAGTTCCTGCCATTCGGCTGAACTGGCGTTATATTCTGTCGTCTTCGGTTCAACACGGTAGCTCTCGGTCATCTGCTCGACCGCGCGCGTCTTCTGCAGAGTCTGTGCCCGCCGCCGCGCCAGTGCATGCAGCGTATTGTCCCTCACTCGAGGGTCGAGCTTATCCGCCACCGACGGCTCCCGCGGCTGCGCGCCGAGCAGACGACGCTGAGCTACAGCTGACGTGACATTGGTAGTCTGTTGCTGCCTGAGCTGCTGCTGCTGCGCCAATTCTTTTTGGCTCGGACCGCTGCTCGTCGCTTCCAGATGCTTGAGCGCTTCTGTGCGGGCTCTCTGGGCCGCGAGTTCCTTCCGTAGTCGCTCAGCAGCAGCAGCAGCTGACTGGGGCGGCATGTCAAGTGGGCGTCTTTTTGTGTCGTCGAGAGGTCGAAAGCGGTGGGCGATGCGTGCATAAAAGCGACACATCGTATCGAGTTTGCGAGACTTGACGCTGCTCTTCTATTGTATGCAGCTGATGGGCGGAAGAGCGAGCCTTCCTATGCAAACATGTGCAGGTTCCGTCCGTGCCACTCAGCTTTGCAAACACGGCAAAAAGGCGGTGCAACGTTGAGCTGCCATCGAAGATATGTCATATGCTGAGCACCTTTACATGAGGCAGATCTTTCGCAAAGCCAGTGTGTCTCGTATACTGCCTGAAACGTCATAAGCATGCTCGATCGCGTTTAGCTCGATGGTCATGGAAGTCTATCCTGCCCTTCCTGGCTACCGATGACGTCTTAGCAGCGCCCAAACGCCTTTGCTTCGCGAGCGCCACAGACACAGAGCCAATATCGATAAACCGCTTCAGGTCTTCGTGTGTACATCTCAATTCAACAGCGTCACATGTCTGCCAAGTCGTCCGCTGCACCTGTCGCTACCTCAAACCAAAGCACCGCACTGACGCACTCCGTCGCCGTTCTGCTGCAACACTACGTCGTCTTTGTCGTCACTCTGTCAGCCCAAACCTGAGACTGTCTTGAAGTCCTGTGCACCACTCGTTTGTGACTCTTCGTCACTCACCGACTGAACGTCAGTCAATGAATGCAGTAGCCACTCGTGGCGCTCAACGCCGTCGACGAGTCCACAATAGTCCCTCGATCGTCACGTCGCTCGTCAGCTGATAAAGTGCATCGTGTGCAGTGTCTCGTCCAGCACAAGTGGACGAGAGGTGCATCCAATGCCAGTAAGTCCACCTGCTTTACCTTCTTCGCGTTGCAGCAAACAAAGCTGCGCATAGACCGAGAGCCCCCGCAAGGGCAAGTGCGACGGACAACTCGCCGCCAAGACGGTCGGCCACATACGACGTACCCTTCGACCACACCCTTGACGCCCGTGCGGATGCTGTATCCAGATGCTTGATCATCAGCTCGCCTTCCCCTTCGACTTCGAACCCGAGCCGGCGGTAGAAATTACGCACGCCGACGCCTGCAATGACCGCCACCTTTTTGTATCCATGCGCGCGAGCAATCGCCTCTGCTTTCCTCATCAGCTGTGTGCCTAAACCTGTGTGTTGCGCTGCCCCATTGTTCGCCGAGACGCTGGTCGCGTCTTTCTTCGACTCGCTCACTGCAGCTACCAGTTGGCCGTACACGTGTAGCTCGCGGATCAAAGCAGCGCCTTCGAGTTCCGGAAACACACCGCCACCGGCAGTCGGCGATAGACGCAGCCGAGCAAAGCCACAAATCTTGGAGCGATCTGGAGTCTCAAAGCTGATAAAGTACTCGTCCCCTTCGTTCGCTTCGTACTCGCGAACGACGCACTCGGCAGAGGCAATCGCAGCGTCGTCCGTCTTGACCTCACGACACCGAATGCACTTGCACGGTGTACCCCGAGCGATCATTTTGCTGCAAATCACTTGCCGCAGATTCGGCTCATCCATTCCTCCCAGTATATACTGGCTCGGAATATCGCGGACGACGCGGTTGAGACGAATCCATGGATGCACCTTGGCTTTCACATCCATCAACAAGTCCATCAGCTTCTCGTCGGCGTACGGTACGTAGCTCCCTTCATCGTACCACTTCTTGATCACCGTCCAAGGAGTTATCTCACACGGGTAAATCTTCCACTGGTCTGCTTGCAGGTCTGGCGAATGCAGCACGTAGTCAAACATGGCTCGATCCTTCTCCGGATCACTTCCAGGCAAGTTCGGCATCAAGTGAATGTCGGTCTTGTAGCAACAGTCACGCAGCAGCTTGAGTGCACGCACGGCGTCCGCAGTCGTGCATCCACGATTGATCTTTTTCAAGATCGCATCGTCCGTGTGCTGGATGCCCAACTGGACACGCGTGCAGCCGTACCGACGGAATCGACGCAGCTCCTCGGCGTTGATACAATCGGGTCGCGTTTCCAGCGTAATGCCGATAATCTTCACTGCAGCAGTTTCATTCTCGAGCTTCTCTTCGTCCAGGCTGTGTCGCTCGCGCTTCGCCCTCTCAAAGAACGTGTTTGCTGCATAGAACAGGTCGCGGATGAACGTTTCTTGATACCCTACCGGATACGACGCCCATGTCCCTCCCAGCACCAACAGCTCAATCTTATCGACAGGATGGCCATTCATTGCGAGCGTCACACAGCGATCGCAAAACTGCAGCACCGGGTCAAAGTCGTTCCGGTTCGCACGCAGCACACTCGGTTCGTCGTGCAAGTAGCTTCGCGGCTGATCCGGTTCGTTCGGACAGTAGTAGCAGTTCCACTGACAGCTAAAGCGCTGTTTCTTGCCATTCACTTGCGGGTACGGACTCGTGAGCACCGTCACAACGAGCACGCCCGACTGGCTTTTCTGAGCCTTCTTGATCAGCAGTTTATCGAGTGCCAGACCCACAGGTGCCGCGCCCTGCTGCACCAATAGCCCCAGCACGAACTTCATCTGCGATTTCTTCGGCAGGCACTTGAATCGACGTCGGAGCAGCACGAACGCCTTCTCCAGTTCCCGCGCAGTTTGGGGGTCCAGATCGACCAGGAAGCGCCCCATGGCTTCAAACTTCGGCAGCTCGTCCACGGGCACGAGCTTGTCCCACATGGCGTAGATATCGTCCAGGCCCTCGTTCTTCCAGTTGACGTCCTGGCTCCGCTTGTACGTCGCGGGATCGTTCACGTCGCCCGTCGGTCGAGCGGATTGAGGTGTCACGCGGATGGATTCAATGTCAGCCGTCGACACGGACGGCAGCGCATCAGGTCGACTAAGAGTACCACCACGAGCAGCAGCACCACCAACAGCACCAACAGCACCAACAGCAGCAGCAGCAACAGCAGCAACAGCAGCAGTAGCAGCGACAGAAGAGTCCGTCATGGCGCAAGTCTCACGTGGACAATCGACCGTGTCGTCAATGGATAGGGCTGCGAGGGGTCCGTTGATTGGTTGGCGGCGAGTGGCGGGGGACGTGGTAGGGTCGTCGTCGTTGATTGGTGATGGGCAGCGAGCGCTGATCAACGACTGGACGAAAAGACGCGCGTCGCAAGAGACGGTCCACCGCGGGTCACCCACCGGGTCCCGTCACTTTTCGACTGGCAAAACGAGCCGCAAGTGGTATGAACGCGTGTGTGGTCGCGATAGCGGCGACGCCTCTACTGGCCGTCGCGACGGCGTACGTAGTGCTGTCGCTGGCCATTGGCATTCGGTCGCAGCGGCTGCGCGCGCTGTTGCTCCACGTCGTCGCTCGTTGCCGAGGGGTCCGCCTCCAGTGGGTCACCGATCCGACTGTGGCTCTGCAGGTGCTCAGGTCCAGTGGCGACAAGGGCGACCTGATCGAGACGCTGCTGTCGGCTCCGGCCTGGCGCCCCATTGTGTCGCTCGAAGCGGTGAACGGCGACCAGTGGCAGCGCATGCGGGTGCGCTTTGCACAACTGATCAAAGCACTGCCACCGCTGGCGAAGCTCACGACGATTGTCGAAGCGCACAGTCGCGCGCTGCTGCACGCCGGGGGACTCGTTGATGCACGAAACGTGACGGCGCTCTCGGTCGCGAGTTTCTTCGAGTGGGTATTTGAACGGGAAATGGACCACGAGGCGCTGCCAGCCGTGTGCCAAGCGACGTGGGAGTGGCGGAAGCAGCTCGCGCTCAAAGGAGTGGCTGATGAGCGGGTGAAGCAGCGGCTGCTCGAGTGGTTCGAGGCGGAGATCCGACGCACGCCAAAGCTGTACGAGCTGTTTGGCGAGCAGTGGGTTACGCCCGAGTGCTACTCGCTCATTCTCCAGCCCTTTGTGATCTCACCTGCCATCAACCTGACTGACATTGCGGTAGCAGTCAAACTGTGGACGAAGACAGCGCCTGTGACCGAGTCGATCACACCCGAGATCATTCGGCAGTGCGTGTGCAGTGCACATCCGTTCCCCGTTATCGAGCGCTACTTTCCCAACGGTGACGTTGCAATAGGCGTTGCCCCGAACACGCATGTCCTCATTCCGCTGGATGAGATGGCGGGTGCTGCTTTTGCGGCTGGTGTGGATTTATCCTTTGGTGCAGGTGCTCGCATCTGCGCAGGCCGTCACGTGGCAATGAAAGCTATGACGGGACTGTTTACTGATTCTCTCGTGCGCTCGGATCGGTTTCAACCTGAGCTAGGTCACAAGTACTCGGGTCGCCACAATGATGGGAAGGAAACAATGTCTGAAACGATTTACCAGCTGCAGTTTGCAGTGCGAATTGTTGGGTCAGCGGTTGTCCATCGCCTCGCCAGATTGTGTAAGAAGTGGGAAAGCAGGTAGCTCTATCACGTGCAACACGATCGCGAGAGAGTTATGGAAACACAACACATGTGCATCCCTTGCAGCCCATTGCGTGTTGCCGCATCCACGTACGAACGAGTCCGTTTTGGGTGTTGCGACGCATGCAAGCAGAGCGCGTCGCGCACCAAATGATGCTTTTGCATGCATCGGCGATGACAAAGTGTGTCCAACGCGGATGAGTCCAACAGCGTCTCCGCAAACATGACTGGTCAAGATGTCCACCGAGAGCTGCCACGCCACTACAGCAAAGCGCCATCATCTTTTTGTGCAGCGATTGGAAAGTGAGCGAGCGATACTGGACCGGCAGCATTTTTGGCGCATGCACGAAGCGATTTTTTGTTTCCTGCACCATAGTGCCTGCACTACATCTTTTCACCTGCTCGACAGCTTCGACCTGGACCATTCGTGTTAGCTATTCGTTACATGTACGGCTCAGACTTAGCAGTGTACAAGGCGGTCGACTGCTAGTATGATTGCGTGAGCTGACCGGAGAGAGCTGTCGTTCGAGTGCATCCATGCTACTGATCCAATGTTTTGGCGACGCGTGCACTCCTGTGATTTCGTGCTGGAGCTTAGCGCTGCTGCAGAATCTGCAATGCCAACTCAATGTTGGTCCTTGCCATATCCAGGAAAGACGGTGTTTTCGAAACAGAGTCGAAATGCCGGAGTGTGAAAGCAAAGCACTCTTCCCGTAGCAAAGGCGAGGCGTGCTGATCAGCTGCCTGGAGGACGCTTGCAACGTTGTCGACAGTTATCGACTTGAGGAGCTTCTGAGCGCAAAGCCGCTTGAGGCTTTCGATGCCGTACTGCTTAGCGGAACAAGGGTCTGTCAGTAAACCTCAGGAGCTGCTTCAACAGTTTGTAGTGTGGACGTACGCGGTCTGCGGCAACGAACAGCTCTTGAACATCTTCATTCGCAACGACGAGTCGATCGGTATACACATACTCTAATAGAGACAGAAAGGTGGCGCGACCAACGTCAGAGATCGTCACTTCGCGAGCTGTGCTTTCCAACATCTATCACGACACCAGCACGTCAAAATCTCTCGGTAATATCACAACACAAAAGCTAATCAAAGCTCATACCTCTCCAGTAAACATAGCCTTGAAGTAGTTGCAGCGCACGCATAGACTCTTGTGACCATATATGGGGCTTCCTTCAACTAAGGGCATATACGAAGAGCGCGACAACGAGTTAGAGACACAGTTTGTGTGAGCTCTCGATGTGCTCTGACAAGAGGAAAGCTCCATAGCTGGCCCGTACCAATAAAAGTCACATCGCTCATGAGTTGGTTGTTCACGAGGGAGTGTAAGTGAGCAATCGCAGAGCCATCTTCCACGGGCTCCAAGATGTCGTGGCCCTGATCCCTGGCTTGCTTCTCAGGCAACTTGATCTGCTCGAAGCTGACCGAGTCATCCTGTCCGCTCAGAACGATCAGGTTGCCGTCGTACACGCATCCAGCAAATGTTTTGTTCCTCGGAGCGGCACCGGCGTATGCAACAGTTGCCCATGTCTTTGTTTCTACAAGCAAGCATCGTGTCAATTTAGCTAGCCTTCCAACAATGTCCGAGTCACTTCGCATACAACGTACCTAGATCAAGCTCGTACACGCTGTGGTCGATCTTTCCACCGAACACGAAAAGAGAATCAGCGTGCAAAGCTACCAGGAAGCGGTTGCAGTCGCTCGGTGCAGTTCCTTTTGTCTCTAAGCTTGACCAAACGCTGGTCTCTTGATAGTATAGATGCCGGTTAGTTCTCGCACACAAACATCAGCACTCCACCCGAACTAGAAGCGTTTGTCACTCACCAAACTCAAAAACACGGACATCGTCGAAATAACCCAGATCGTTATCATAGCCGCCAAACATCAGACAGTTTTGCTTGTACACGATCATGGAGGCACCCTCACTAGTTCAGAGGCAACGAGCAACGCCAAAACCATAAGCACACTTTGACAACGACCATCACAACGCTTGCAGCCGTCCGTCATACCGAGGGTACGGCACTTCTCCAGTGGCTCGAATCAATGACCACGAATTGGTTTCTAGCATCGCATACGATCACATGAAGAATGAGGAAAATACAGCAAGACATCTGCATCGTCAGCCTCGACCTTTGCACGTACCCAGGTTGAACGAGTGCATGTCGTTGACGTAACGGCCGGCGTCTAATCGGCCATATTCAGCAGAGTTGCGGCTTGACAGGGAATCGCGATCATAGTGTCGGTCACTTCCCCCGAAAATGTACATTGCGTTGTCTAGAGCATCAACAGGCGATTCAGTCAGATGTGTGCGACCCGCACGATCCACCGTCTGAAGCCACAAGCACTTACTGTACACTACTGCAGCGTGGCCGTATCTCGACGTGGGCTGCTGTCCAGCGTTCACAAACACATTGGTCCACGTTTGCGTCACTGTTGGTTCACAGCCAGTCCATGACACACGACACACACACTTCAGACTCGGAGTGGCAAAAAAAACAATAAACCGCTCGCTCTCTCTGTTGTACGGCCGCCCCTACTCACGAAAGTTGTAGGAGAAAAAGTCGTTCAAGCGCCTGTCGCCATCGTGTCCTCCAAAGACGTAGAGCGAGTCGTTGTAAACCACGGCCGAACAAAACTTGCGCTGACTGGGAGCGACGCCACGAGTCGAGACTGTGGACCACTCGTTTTTCACGAAATTGAATTCGTAAAACGTGGCAGCAGGACGGGCCATGTAACTACCGCGCGCGGACGCAGCAGGAAGTGAGCGCTCTAATAGTAGTCACACAAAGCAGCAGCAGCAGCAGTCGCACACACACACAGTGTACAGCACAGTCCAATGTCCGCGTCGATCGATACCCACAGAAACAAACAATCGGACAAACAGACAGACAAAGAGACAAAGAGACAAATGGACAGTCAGACAGTTAGATCGTCAGACACAACGAGACAGTAGTGGAACGACTACAACGGCTGCTACTGCTACTGCTACTGCTACTGCTGCTGCTGCTGCTGCTGCTGTACCTCTCTCGGTGCAAGTCCGACCTCCCAAGATGTAGAGCGAGTCTTTGTACTGGACACAGACGTGGCCCGCACCAATGGGCGGCGCTTCGCTCTGGTTCCCACAGGGCACGGGCGTCCAGGACGGCTCCGGCTCTGTGGCTCGGCACGGACTCGTCATGTCGAGTCACTTTGAGGCGTCTAAAAGTCTTTTGGAGCTGCTCGTCGGTTTGCCCGACGGCTTCTGTTGTCCAATTGAAGAGCCCGTCTCGTCTCTGTTCGATGCTCGAAACGACCGGACGGGTCTCTCTGTGAGTCTGTGTGTGTGTGTGTGTGAGTTGGTCCAAGTTTATGATTGTAGAGAGGTCGTTCCTTCCTCTGCTCGGTGGTACTTTCTACAGGTTGAGTGAGCTCTTCTAATAATACTGTAAGCTGTGGTCGCCCGATTGAGCTCTCGAGCTATGGCCGCCAAGGGACCTGTTTTTTCCAGTGTCGTGTCTACAATGGACAACGCGTTGTCTTAGAAGGAGGGTTTCTCAAGATTTGGCTCGCGACGGCGCGAAAAACACACACACACACACATACTGTCGTCCGTATTTGTACGTTTTGGCGGTAATAAACAACGTGGACCACAAGATTATCGTGGACGGGGCGCTGTATGCGTAGTGACGATCGAGCGGAGGGGAGCAAAGACCTCTGTCAGCTCCTGTGTAATAACGTGGTCAGCCTGTTACGTGTCACTGCCACGAATCGTGCGAATGTAAATAGTATCGTAATTACCAATACCTTACGATGTTACACTTGCGAGTCAATATTGCTGGAATATTACATTTAGAGGTAATATGCGGCACAGCTTCACACTTTGGGAGATATGGGCAGGCCTCTTTATTTATAAATTCGACCGTAAATACCGTAAATAGCTCGTTATACGGCTTGACCAAAATATGATAGACGGACCACTGTTTATTCGGCTCCAAAACCGGCAATGAGGCTCAGCATTTTCATTTGCTTGCAATGCAACACTCCCTCTAGCGAAAGGTCGGTGATACTGGTGCAAAACCCGTCTTTTTCATTCATTTTAATCGAAAGATCAGATTCAACTGGACTTGTGCCGGAAAACACAATAGCAATTTCACCACAGAACCGTTGAAGATACTTGAACCTGTCTTTGACAACACCTCATGATTTATCGAAAGTACAATCTCCATTAAGGGAGTCTCATGTCGACATGAAAGCAGGTTCACATCTCACGGCATTCAACAGCTCGCCGTGCTCCTGCTCAATCAAATCGATCTCTCCGAGTGTCCAACGCGCCAGAAGGTGCTCTTCTGAATCCTCACAATCGCACTGAATTCAGAGTTGCAAATCAAAACCAGATCTTGAGGTGCGACGGGTGGAAGTTTGGAGTCCTCTGAATTCGCGCCTCGATGATTGGGATCTCGCTCAGACACAATCTCATCAATACCGTTGATGTCATCGATGAACACAGTCGCGACGTTTTTCGCAACATCTCTCACTACTCTATCATCCATGGACGAAAGGATCTCAGACACGAATGAACCCTGATCATCAATGAAACTCTTCACTTTGACAAGACTAGCAGCAAACTTTTCGGAAGTCGATCCATGCCCTTCATTAGGATCCAGTGTGTCCGCCTCACCACAATCATCCAGGAATGGACCTTTGGCGCCGACGATTCGATGTAGAACAACATTAAACTCTTCACGTGTTCTCGATTCATCGACACCGTGACATAGTTCCCTTGGAGCTGCTTGAATGTCACCGTCGCGCGTGCTGCAAAGGCTTGCCGTGGTGTACCTGGACGACCTTCAAGTGTTTTCCAGTACAGACGAAGATCATCTCGCTCATTTGCGCATCCTCTTCGACCGCCTGCAGAACTATGTCGTTTCGTTAAATGAAAAAAGTGCCATATTTGGTGCAAGGAGGTTGATTACCTTGGGTTTACGCTATCGGCCGATTGAATGAAGCCTCAAGAAAAAAAACTCAGGCCATTCAGAAGATCGCAGTGCCACGCAACCGAAAAGAGCTTCGACGTTTCTTAGGCATGATCAACTACTACCGAGACATGATTACGAACAAGACAACCGCGTGCAAGCCACTATATTGCTTCACAAGCGCCAAGGTACCGTTCACATGGCTACCCAGCGATATGAAGTCCTTTCAAGAGATCTAGCGGGCATTTGCAGAGACCGTTCTGTTAGCGTTCCCTAGCTTCAAGGAGCCTTTCCATGTCTACGCGAATGCTAGCGGAACCCAGATAGGTGGATTGATCATGCAAGGCAACAAAATTTTGGTATGTTACTCGCGAAGTATCACCAAGCGCCAAATCAGTTATACCACCATGGAAATGGAGCTCCTTTCGATAATTGAGCTGTTACTCGAATACCGAACGATGCTCCTCGGATTTCCAGTCGTGTTCCATACGGATCAAAAACATTTTATCTACCCCAATGAAACAAGTCTTTGAGTGAAGCGCTGGAAATTACTCCTTTCTGCGTATCGCCTGACCATGACCTATGTTAAAGGGGAGAAGGACATCGGAGCAGATGCCTTCTCACGCATGCTATTTGCGAACAGTGAAGGTCCATCGATTAATGATGAAGTCTACACGCTCAATACAACGCCATAGTGCGTAATAAATGGTCCAATTATCCGCCAGCATCAAGAGAACGATGGAATGATCGCATCGATCAAAGTAGCATGTCTTGCAGGAACCAACAACCCAGACTATCAGCTCAAGGTTCTCTTGGGATGTACCATGGTTGGGTACAAACACCGAGTAATCGTACCTGACAGTCTTCAATATGACCAGATCGACTGGTAACACATGAAACTCGGCCATCCAGCAAGCCATCGGCAACACAAAACGATGCAAAGTACCTTCTACTGGCCGCACATGGAAACAACCATCGACAGTGTCGTTAATCAATACATCACGTGCAAGCGCGCGAAGTTACACGACGGGAAACAAGCTTACGGACTTCTACCACCACGTACCCATAAAACCGTTAACCCGTTCGCCATTGTCCACGTTGACCTCATCGGCCCATACGACGGCGGCTATTACGTGATAACGATAGTTGATCAAGCGACTAGGTGGCTGGAAGTTGCGGTACAGACAGAATAAGGATCGCTGACTGCGGCTGAAACTTTTGATCGCAAATGGCCTTGCCGATACCCGCGTCCACGGTAAGTTGTGTACTACCAAGGGTTGGAGTTTACCGGAGAAGAATTCCAGGAATTACTACGCAGTTACGGCCTGAAATCAAAGCCGATCACAGCAAAGAATCCACAAGCTAATGCTATCTGTGAGCGTGTGCATCTGGAATTATTGACGTCATCCGTTGTCACACAGGCGCCGATTGGAAGAAGGTCATTCGTTACGCCGCTTTTTCTGTACGGGCAAGCTACCACAGTATACTCAATGCATCTCCGGGACAACTCATATTTGGACAAGACATGATTTCGCGCCAACTGCACGAGGCTAATTGAAGTTACCTGTCAAAACGGCGATTTCAAGCTTCCTAGCTGACAACACACGCGAGAATACCAAACGGCTCGTGCACTTTTTCCACCCCGGAGACCACATAATGATCCGAGGACCTAATCAGTTTCGTGCAAAGACAAAGGAAGTGTCGGGTGGGCCCTACCCCACTATCACGGTGCGTGAAAATGGAACCTTCACTATCGACAAAGGCGCGACGACACAACGGCTACCGATTCGTCGCATTTTCTCGTGCTAGTATTCTTGCTTCATGGGGGGGGTATGACATAACTACCACATACACTGGTTCATGATGGATGGATCCTACTTCACGACCAATCTACGACTAAGCTGAGAAGAATCTGATGGATGGATTGATGGATGCTTGATGGATAGATGATGATATGGAATGAGATGAAGCATTCAGTTAGGCACGGTAGAGTAACACGGTCTTTAATATATTCTCAATTTTACCTTTGACTCCGCAAGACCCTCTCAAATAAGGCTATCGGACCGATCACCCCTCTGCAAGCCAAGAATGTGTCATTTTATTATAATCGTCGTGCGTGCTGCAAAGGCTTCAGCAGTCATGATGTACAACAACGGTCGGACGGCATGCACACCGGTTTTTTTTGGCAAAGTAGGCACGAACACGGACATGTTTGGCCTTGAACCATCCACCGACTTTGCTCATAGACTCTTAACGGGAGGTAGCGAGTTTTGGGCAAGCCGTCTTCATTTTGCTGATCAGTTTCTGCTGTGGGAGAAGGTAGGAAATGATGGGGTTCAATACTCCGCGATACTCGTCATCATCAAAATGGACGTACACGTCTTGTAATACGATTTCCGGCTGTTACGCGCCACACCAAAATCGAATAAAACCAGGCTTTGCAATATTATGGAACCTGGTGACACAACCGCTGAATCGGCCTGTCATTCTTTTCCGCCATCTGGAGAGGTGCCAATGATGATGTCACACCATTGGGGCAGCACAGCGTCGAGCGCTTCAGAAGTAGTCGAGAATATGACCTCGCCTGTGTGTCGTTCGTACAATGGAATCGCCAAAAAAATAGACATTGAGAATGCCATGCTCAAGAAGATGTAAACGGAGACGGATGTCGAGATACGAAGTGCTCATGTGTGTCGACATATTCAGTGCAAAAGAGAACGTCCAAGATTGCTCTAACAGCTCTGCAATCTTTTGTAAATTAATGGCAACAGCAAACCGAACATACTTGGCTACAGTTGCGTCGCTGGCACACCCAATCGAATCCAATCCGGTCGACTCTTTCATTGATAGCAAAATACGAGAACTCTGACGACACGTGCATGCAGCTGCCAAATATCCAACATTAAGGTGGAATCGCAGGAAATTTGATATCAATACGGTAGCGGCCGACATCTTCTCCATCTCCAAGGTATTCAAAACTCGTCAGCAATGTCAACGAACGGCTGCATTATCTTAGTGTGACTCTCGTCCTCAACCTCATCTGTATCTCAAAGCATGTCCTCAATGATTTTGTCAACAATTGGTGCACTGATTGTATGCTGCCTCGGTACCTTCTGAGATCCCAAATTTGAATGTAAGGTGTGCTTCACGGGCTGAAAATTCTCAAAGTAGCCCTTCTTGAGTTCGTTAGAGAGTCCTTGGTACTCCTGCCTTGTTTCAGGGTGCT